GAGGCTTATGTACAGCACTATGTACAGGACTTGTACAGGGCAGTAATGTTGATGAAACCTTACTTACTTACTGTTAATGGTCTAACTTGGGGTTTGAAGCCGAGATCATATGATTGACAGTCGCTCTTATGATCACTATACTAACGAGGCAGTCAGAACATGTCATGTTTCTATAAAATTACGTTATTGTAAGTATGTACAATTGCAGAGATTGTTGATAAAAGTTAGAAGGTAGCGGTATTGTTTGCGGTAATGGAATTATACTGTCGTCCTCTTTGTTGTGTTGAGATAATGGCGCAACTTTGCCATTTGTGCAGGTAAAACTAGCACTATTCCATTTCTAAACTCCGGCTATTCTTTCCATTTTAAACGCTGAGAGATTATTATCTCTTTCATTTATGAATCAGATGGCGTCTCGCTTATCCAAGAGTTGGCGGTTTTTGTTTTTAATTTTTAAACAGGTGTTTTCAATAAATAACTTTGGTACTGACTGCTTTCTCTTACGTTTTTATTTCTTAATCAGCCAATAATATATTATAGCTTTGGACATGAGCCTTTCTCTTAGTGTTTTAAACGTGTATCAGCATCATAATTAGCCCGTAAAAGTCCACTACTGGTCATTGACCTTTCCTGTTGTACGTATTTACCTTGATCGTCACGCTTGAAAAGTGGATTAGCAATAGCGTAGCTCAAAAATTATCAGACGTACTTACTTGCAATTTTACATATCTAATAAATTCTCCTTGAATAAGTAGAATCCCAAATTACTTGACTAAGCCTATAACAGTTTTAGATTTATTAGTCTACAATAAAATGAAATTTTTGAATTAACCTTTTATTTTTCTTAAGTTATTCTGTAAAATGTCATTATTATTACTTACTGAGTGAACTAAAACTTAGGCCACTTTTAGCTGACGCAGAAATTTAAAATTTGATATCAAGATAGATCATAAGACAAATATAAATTAAAAAAAATTTGAAAACTACAAAATAAAGATATTCATCATCAGACATTTTTAACAAAATTGGACCTTTTTTTACGTCAATATTTTTGGTGGGATAATATTAAGTGAAATGAAATTTAATCCCTGACCGTAGTTAATACTTTCCATGAATCCTTCCTTCTATCTTGTTCACTGGATATCCCATATTCAAAAGCTAGGCGGATTTTCTAGTAATATTACAATGGACGTTTTTGTGACTTTTTGTATTGTTAACGTTATGCGAATACCAGATATTTTATTACAAAAGTATCAGATTCTTTATAGAAATAGAATAATTGATAATTCTCGTACCTTTATAAAAATGGCTATTATATTCTTCGGTGTGTTTTATAACTTTTAATGAAATGTATGTATATATACAGCCTATACATGCCCACTGTTGGGTAAAAGCTTTCTCTCATAGAATAAAGGTACATAAACTATCACCATTTAGCGTACCAAGCATATCGTTTCTAAATCCTTCCTAAAACCAAAAAAAGTCACGTCCAACAGTGGTCTTTTATCGAATGATGGCCAAGGAAGATTAAAAATGTAATTGTTTTTATTTATTACTTAAACTAATTGAACATTATCAACATATTATTTAAAACAATCACAATTGCTAACAATACCTAATGATACCTTAAAAAGTATACCTAATTTAGGTCTGTCACGTCTCAGTGTATGCTACGACACTAAAATAAGGTCTACCACCCATCTCAAGGAATGCTTTTGAAGAGAAAGTTGGCGGTAAATAATAAATTGCATGGTTGCTGATAAAAAAAAATAAAAAAATTATTAGTGTTCCATTCTCAAATTTAACTGTAAATGTACAATCTTTACAATGATGTTTAATTTAGTTATTTTAAGCCGATGAGTAAAGAGTGTGTTACTTATTTTAGCATGTTTTTAATAGAATAAGAATGACAAACGAGCGTACTCTCTACCTTATGGTAAATGACTACCGTAAGTTGATGGGTGGAAGTGGATGGACTACGGTAACTGGATTCTGTGGCCCATGGATACTATGATACCTACATCAATATTTGATTATGAATCGACATAATATTATATATATGGTTAGTACCTTCTGTAGCCTATGGAAATCTTAACTTCAATTGTTTTAATAATGCCATTCTTCTAACTATTTAATTAAATTAAAACACAACAGCGGATGCAATGCAGTTTGGAGACGAAAGTATGGAAAGACGATCGTATTAACCCTAGCCAAAAAAGAAATCATAACAACTAGTTAAATGAAGAAACATTTCAGAAGAACTGATGTATAAATGAGTGAAATATACTTTGTTTTTGACTAATAAGCAAACAAAAAAGGAAAAATAAATTATACAAAGGTACAATTGGCGGACTAATAGCTTACAAGCGACCTCGACATGCAACTACATTTTTACGTGGTAGAGCCATGCTGCAGCTATATTATGGTTGTAGCACGAATGGGTCGGCTCGACCGGGTAAGGACCACGCTCTCACAGAAAACCAGCGTAAAATAGCAGCTTAACGTTGCTGTGTTTCGTATGGTGAGTGTAGAGAACCGGAGACCCTTTTTACTGGCAAAGAGGCATTCCATCTTAGACCTCACGAGTGACAACGCATCTGCATCTTGAGTCTTTATTTCGAATAGATGTAGATGTCTATGGGTCACAGTAACCACTTACCATCAGGTGGACTGTGTGCTCGTTTGTCACCTGATCCTAAAAGAAAAACATTGTAGCGTAAGATAATGACCTGTGAGAAATTTCTCTAAAGCGTCCCAAGCTATCCTCGCAATTATACACTCCTTCATTAGGTTTCTGATCTGGTACTAAGACTACTGAGGTTTTGAGTTCGCAGCCAAGATTTGTGAGAAAACACAATTTTTTGGTATTGATGTCTAGTTATGTGTAAGTGCTCCTGTGTCTCTCAGATTTCATTGCACAATTTAAAAGGAATGAGTATCGTTGTCGTTGTGAATATATTTGTCGCAATATACTGTTTAAAAAGCAATTGGATAACATCCAATTTTCGCAAGTTGCCAACTTATGCGACAATCTGCCTGGATAACGGTGTCTGAATTGACGGCTCCGCGGCGCAGTGGCTTAACTGAAGTTGAGGCGCTGGGGGCTGCAGATATGAATCTTGCACGGAACTAGTATTTGTATGGCCTATAAATAATTGTTTCAGTAGTCTTAGTTGGCAACCGAACCTCCACTGGAGATTCTTAGCACCCCCTGCCCTGCCGTTACCATGGTCGCTACCGTAGCCGGGAATAGCCGCGCCGCCGGGGACTGGGGGCCGTCTCTTCGTAACTTTAATCATGGGGGGGGGGGGTATATTGCCATAGTTGCTACGCTTGGCGAGCGGGTTGGCAACCGCAGTTTTTTTATTGTTGTTTAGCTGTAATCAGAACGATGCTGCTGCCCATCTTCTGCCTCAGTTTCCCTCTGTCGCCTCTTACGACACCCACGGGAACATATGGGGTAGTGGGTATTCTTACCCGCCACTACACACTATTTCTTACCGGGTTACAGTACAAGTATGGATGCGTGTCGCAAATTATATTTGTAAACTGTCTCCACAATAACAGGAGAAAAAAACTAGTTTAAAAAAGAAAACTTTTTTCTAATAAATAAATAAAGAACATCGTCTTACGTATGGCGATTTTGGTGTTTTTGGCATTACTCAAAGTTTATTAATGACTGTTGTTAAAGTATTATTTAAATTCAAGAATTTAACAAAGCTACATACAAAACATTAATTTAATAAAAAACAATGACGCATTATTGAAGCCAAGGACTTATGTATAAGAGTCGGTGTTGAATTGGTATTACAACAGCCATTAGTGAAATAAATGTGCAATAAATTACTGGAAGCGAGCGCAGAAACTCGTTCATCTGAAAAAAAACGCGATGTGTTCGTGTAACTGACGTGATATGTGAAGCGACTGATGAATGTTGATGGACTTCCTGTACAGCTAATTGATTATTTTTTTAACGAATTGATATTTTATAATCAAAAATATCAACTTAAATTAATGATTACAACATAGCGATACTCAATGTTAATTACAATTACAGCCTATCAAAAGTCCACTAACTGCTATAGTTGCCACAATTACCACGCCTGGTAAGCGGGTTGGTAACCACAGTTTTTTATTACTTATATAACTGTTGTCAGGAAGATACTACCGCCCATCTCCTGGTTCAGTTTCTCTGATGCCTCTTACAAAACCCATGGAATGATATGAAAAAGTGGATTTTCTTACACCGCTACTGCACATTGAAACGAATTCATGCATATATATATATATATATATAATTGCAGTTTAATTTATAAACGTGTATCACTAATGAATTTGGTTTTAAAGTTAAAAAAACTTTTCCTTGTTTTAAATGATAATGATCTCAATCATTACCTGGTTAAGTTTATAAGAGTTTTAATTATAAAGACTCTTAATTTAGTGTAAATAAAGATCTTAGTAGTAATAAAATCGCATTCTTTTAAATAAACCATTAAATCATATTATTTTGATTATTATCGTTGCACCCCATCATAGATCCACTGTTGAACATAGTTTGTAACAGGTAGTCACTCTATCTAGTAGCTTTATAATTAATAAATTAATATTTGTGCACAATTTTGTAGGATTGCACAATATTTCTTTTTTATAACTTGAACACGTCATTTATATTCAAACAGTTACGACCTTGTATCTCGTATTTTACTTATTTTATTAAAAAAATGCTAATTAACATCAGGGTTACCAAACTAAAATGATCACAGAAAATATGAGTCATATTGATGTGAGGAGTAAGAACTAGAAGAGGCCAAGATACATTTGTTGTTGATCTACGCCTATCAGGGGCGTTCAATCGAGATAATTAATTTGTTTAACTTTATGTCATGAAATTATATCTGATATAATATTTCAGTAGCAGTTGGCAAATTCGAACGTAATAATGATAAAGGACTTGTAAAATTATAAATTCTCATTTCCAATGTAAATGAATATAATTGAAAATGAGTGAAGTGGATTTAGCAGGATTGGAAAACAATGGTACGTATTGTTCTTCATATTCTTATTTCTTGTCTAACTGCGAGTTGTAATTCAGATGAGATGTATGATTTTTTTTCCTTTTGATATTGTCATATTTAGCTGTTTTATTTTATCAATCATTATTGCTTTAATTTTCAATATATCACATGATACCCACTTTCTTAAAATGTTTTTAGATTTTATTATAACTCTTCTTCATAAACACGATAGTCCATTGTCCATGGTCAAATTACGTCTCTTCTATTATAGAAAGAATTTGTTAATATAAATGTTATTTTAAGTGAAAATTATTGTCAGCATCTTTACATTCCTTCACAAGTTCACTGTTGAACATAGGCCTCCCCCAAGGGATGCCACAAAGCATGGCCACCTGCATCCATCGACTTGCTGCATGACGACAATGCAGGAGTCGAAGTAGGTGTGCCGCCCTACATTTCACTTTGTGGTACGAGTATGCCATTCACGAACCGTTTTTCCTCATTGGTTATCGGTTCTTCGAGTCATATGTATATTCACAGTAGTACTTTTTTATAAATGTTTAATTTTCGTAGTATTTATACTAACTATTAGCATTTATCGTGTGTGTATGTTTTAAATTGGGTGTTGTTTAAAGGGTGAGCATGGTATTAACTTTTTGTCAGGAAAGAAATGTAATCTAGCAGCAGAAATAGATAATTGATCAGCAAACCATGGCTAGCAAATATTATTAAATCAATCGGCAATGTTTGACATTCCGGACGGCTGTAAAATTTTGAGTACAGCATATGTTTATAAAATTTTGATAAGCACTAAGAGGGTAAGCAACTAATCTAATTTTGTGCAGCATATAAAAATAGCACTAGGTGCGGCCAGCAGTAGTTGGTAAAATTTAAGTATGCTGTTAAATTTGTAAAAATACGAAAATACTTATCAAATAATATCAGCGATATTATTATACAAATTTAAAAATACACCTAAATTTAACCAGTTAGTGCTGACCGCACCTAATTTTAACGGTAAAGAATTAGATGTGACCGCACTTCGGTTTTTAGCCGTAACAAATGCATATCGATCAAATGCATTGCTTATAGACATATTTTCTTTGCTAACCAATAGTGGATCTTGCTGATCAAGTAGTTAGTTTACGGATTGACTGTTTATTAGGCAAACTCATATTATTTTATGCTACGTATTTATGATTAAATTACTGAACATTATCAAGATTATTTGCGAAACAATAATTGCCGAATGTTTCTTTTTTTGTATTGCTAGCAGAATCTTTGAATACTAACCAAATGTTTTAAATGCTGGTTTTTGTGACTAACCATATTTTAATATAATTACTTCTCTTTTAAATATTGCGTTTTGACTAAGCCTGTATTATCGCGAACCCATAGATTTAAACGAAAGATAGAGAAATAGTACATCACTGAATAATAGAAAGTGGTTATGATAAACCAGACTTGAATTGCATACGAAACAGTTCTACGGATCAAGTTTGTTGTATTTGAATTTATCTGCTTATTTGGTCGCTTCGTTCATTGATTCTGCTGATCATGTGGTAATAGGTTCGAATCGAAGTTCAAGGCAGCTTGAAGTAATATATTGTGATAAAAATATGATCAACGAAAATTAATAATATCTTTATTCTAATATTTTTTAGTAAAAGAACATCAGGATACCAAAATCCCGACGGCTATGCAAGAAATAAATTTAGCACTAAAAGAATGTGGAGTCGGTTGGTTCCATGTTCGGCTTTTAAGTACATCGTTCGTTGGATTAATTGCTGGTGTTCTAGTTACAAATACAACACCATTTATATTGCCAGTGGCAGAATGTGACTTAAATATGAATTTGTTACAAAAAGGACTTTTGAATGCAACGCCTTATATTGGTAAGTTTTAAATTCGAATTAATTAAGGTATGCTAAAAATATTTTTTTAAATACCGAATAGACAAACAAACTTACAGCCCTCTACGTGATGGTAAGTGGCTATTGCAGTCCATGTACACCTGCTGTAAACTTCAAACAAGAGGCTGTAGATGCTTTGTCACCGCTGGGAACTAAGTTGTTATGCCTCGCATCATGTAATTATACTGTCTCTCTATATTCTTCTTTATTCTTTATTAAAACGTTACCTCCACATTAGGATTTTCTCCTGTACCGCGTAGACATAGATTTCACAAAGACAAACATCCAGACTCAGAACAATTTTTGTAGGTCATACAAATACTTGTACCGTTTGGGATTCGAAGCCGAGGCCATTAGCCCTGCAACTCATTGCTAAGCCACTGCACTACAGAGCCGTCGTATCTTTTAGACTAGAACACAGCTCTGCAATCAATGCTACTTAGTGACAGAAATAGGTAAAATGATGGTAGCTTTCCAGATGTACTCCTAAGCATAAGAGAATCAAAGGAGTTTTTCAGAAATTTAGTTAAAATAATTGAAATCGATAGTCGCAACTAGCAAGTATTACTAGATATTATAGTATTACTAGACATTGACAGATTTAGTAATGAACGCTGCATAAAGGTTATATCGCAAGATATAGTTTAAGTCAGCGAAACTGTACCACAATGAACTCTATCTGTAATAATTAAAAATTAAAAATCGATAAACTGATAAGAGTATGTTTTTGTTATATTAAATATTCATAATACCTATGCTTCCGGTTCTTGGAGTCTAATATGTGTGGGTTAATCTATGGTTACATTTAAAATGCTGGCTCTCGACGATAACATAGCAAAGCAATGTTATCGTAGTTCAACAATCTAGATCTACTACTAACTTGAAAAAGACACCCATTTTATACAAAACTAGCTGATACCCGTAACGTAACTTCATCGGCGTTGCTTGATATACCAAGAACAGCACTGAACACGTACTGCTTATAAAAAAAAAATTAAAACTTTAATAACTTTATATTAAATGAAGACATCGCAATAATTTTCTTTTTAGATAAGGACCAAGTGTCTATAAATGATTCTTAGGAAACCTATATTCAAATCTATCCAGTAGTTTTTCCGTGATGCGCCCACAACTGCGAACATCTATTATTTTATTTATATAAACTAACCGAAGCATTTGTTTGACCAAAAATTGTTATGTTATGAGTGTTGGAAGTCGAATGAAATTAATGATTGTAGGTAAAATGCTTTAGTAAAATTCCTGGATTGACCTTAACGTCTTTTAAATATATGAGTAGAATATTTTTATATGATAAAATATGTTAGTTATAGGAGAAAATATAACCTAACAGCTCATTTCGGTGTTTATTATATAAATGATTACTGAGAGAAGTGCAAACATAATCACAGAAAGAATAAGTAAATACAATTTATAAATTTATTATTTACTGTCTGATGATAACGTGAAACGACGATCACCTCATCAAATAAATCTTGTATTAATGCGACTGAAATGTTTTAAAAATAAATTATTAATCTTCGAAATTGTGTAAGGACGGTGTAAGAATTTGCACTACGCCATATAGTCCCGTGATTGTAAGAGAGTAAAGAGGCAACATAGATAAACAAACCAGGAGGTGGGCAGTACCGTATTCCTAATAACAAATTAAAAAAAAAAAACTAAATATCCATCCCTATGAGGCAAACTTTTTGAGTCTAGTTTGGTAGCTTCGTTTTACCTATTTCTGTTTTCTAGCAGATTTGCAAATATTGCTGTATTTTTGTTTAGAGGATAAAACAAACGGTAAAATCACCAACGGGGAGACATTTCTTCTTAATATTTACGGATGATAAAGCGTTTATAATCTATTCTTTGGTTAAAGCTTGCTACAGATCCACAGGCTGGAGCAACCGCTTTCCATTTGATTGGTCTATTATCCTATTCAATTCAATTTGATATTATAAAAAAAATGAGATAAACTATGTGTCTTCAGTGTTTAATGGGAGTTAACTGTGTCCAGTTTTGTTAAACAGGGAGCTAAAACGATGAAGATTGAATCGAGAGATGTTTGAATCTTCCCTAATGGCAGTCGAGTAAAGAATTTTTTTGTACGTAATGACGTTTCTTTTTTTAGGAATGACATTGGTATCAATAGTAGCTGGTTTTTTGACGGACACGTTTGGTAGAAAAATGTTTCTTGTATCTGGATTTGGTGGACTATTTCTGTTTACTGTTATTGCTGGTTCGAGCCAATCATATGAAGTTCTAATAATATCAAAATTCTTCGAAGGTATTCTGTAAGTATATGAATATAGTGTTTAACTGTAAAATAAAGTACTGTAAATATACAAAGATAAGTATAGTACAAGAACAATAGTGTTAGTATTATGTAAATACATACAACTGTATAACTACCGACTATGTAGGTTTTGTTAACATAGCGATCTGCTGCAGCATAATGCTGAATCGTTGGCCCTTTCGTTGTTGCAATTCAATGAATTATTCATTTTAAACTAATTTCACTCATATTTCATATCCTTACATTGTTTTGCAGCGGTGAATAAAGTTCCTTTCTTCCATTTTTTTTTCTTTTAAAAAATACTAAAAGGTCACTAGATAAATGAATAAAACGGTGTAATAATAAGAAATAAAAATCATTCAGAAGCATACCAATAAAATTTAAAAACTGGATTGTTTTATTTACAATTTTATAATTGAGGTTAGTAGAGTGAGGGAATAAGGAGTGCACCTGAGCTTAGGCTTACACTCGGGCACTATAATCCTGTACTGCGCAGATCCAATATTCGGTTTGGAGATTAGTCAGAAGGACTCTATCATACATACTAACTGTACCGTTACTGTTACAGCCTATTAAACTCCACTGCTAAACATAGGCATCTCTAAAGATTTCTTCACAGATTGAATATTTGCCATAGTTGCCAGGCTTGGTAAGCGGGTTGGTAACCGCAGTTTATTTTTATTTTTAGTCGTTATTAGGAAGACACTACTGCCCATCTCCTGATTTGTCTTCCTTTGTCGCCTCTTATGACACCTACGTGATGATATAACACTGGACACTGCCACTATACGGTACTTATGCTATGTTGTCGAAAAAATATTTACTATGCTAAAGATGCAGGTGGCTCAGGACCGTGCTTTGTGGCATTCTTTGGGGGAGGCCTATGTTCAGCAGTGGACTTGTGAAGGGCTGTAATGATGATGATGATGATGCTAAAGTTATCCAAAAGGAATGAGGCACTTATCTTCTTTCTTTTTTTATAGGATAAGATGACAAACGAGCACACAGTCCACCTGATGGTAAGTGCTTGCTGTGACACATAGACATCTACATCTATTCTCAATAAAGAATCAAAATGCATATGCGTTGGCACCCGTGAGTACTAAGATGGAATGCCTCTTTTCCAGTAAAATGGGCCTCCGGTTTTCTACACTCACCATACGAAACACAGTAATGTTATGCTACTACGAGTATTTTACGCTGGTATTCTGTGAGAGCGTGGTCCTTCCCCGGTCGAGCCGACCCATTCGTGCTACAACTATACTACTAATATAGCTGCAGCATGGCTCTACTACGTGAAAAATCTATAAATAAACTGCTTACTTATTGACTCAAAAAATAAAGAACATTTAGATTTTTAGTTTCATTGCGTTCACTCAGAGTATAACTAAAGTGGTTGGAGAGTAGTGGACTGTATTTATACTTTAACTGGCGGTGTGAGGTTAGCTATACTAGGGGACTGCTCGAAGAAAAGATGGTACTTTTAACTATACTATATTCACTATTTACAAAGGGTTCGGCACTATTAACTAAATCACTATTCAAAGAGGGAGGTCTTCAGTATGGAGTCTTCTTCCAGGTTTTCTGTCTTGATTCTTCCTTGTTGTCTTCTCGAGTGCCGCTTCCGAATGAACGCCCACGGCCTAAATCGCCCTTCTTATATTCCCGAGGAGAGCGCTTCATTCCGTGGGGTTATCCGCCCGATGGCAATTTTCGCCGCACGCGCGCTGATTGGTTGCCCGATATCGCGTGATCAGCGCCGGCGTGCGGGGTGCGCGGGACGTAACGGGGAACGAAGGGGCGACGGGGCGGCGGGTCTCTCGCTGTTCGTAACATTCTTCCCCCGGCGTAGCCTTGCGAGCCTAGGCTGCACTCGGGAGGACGGCGATCCTCCTGACCGGCCGCCGCAGCAATCCGCCCCTGGTCCTCACTTCGCCGTCTGGTCCGGGAAAGGTCCTCGTTATAACTCCTCTTGGCCACACGTTCCGCGGCATGGTCCCGTCTGCCACCACGACGAGGTCTCCTTCTTGTACCGGGCGCTGCTGCACGTCCCTTGAGTCTCCGCGCGCAACCAGCGTCGGCAGGTACTCCTTCACCCAGCGCTTCCAGTACTCGTCGGCAAGTCCCTGCGCCGCTCTCCACGCCCGACGATCATTAGGCGTGCACGGCGCGGTCACTGGAAGGCTCGATGGTCCCAGCAGCAAGAAGTGGTTGGGTGTCAATGCCTCTTCTTCGTCGATGTCGACCGGTACGTGCGTCAACGGTCGAGAGTTAACGGTGTTTTCAGCTTCTGTGAGGAGCGTCGCTAATGTCTCCTCCCGTGGGCTCTTCTGATTGAGTGTGGCTTCGAGCGCGGTCTTCACCGAGCGCACGAGACGCTCCCATGCGCCTCCCTGGTTCGGCGCACCCGGCGCGATGAACTTCCAATCCGTCCGCCGAGTCAACGCGTAGTCCTTCAGCAGGGGTGCCCACTCTTCCATCGCCCGTCGTAATTCGGTGTCCGCCCCATGAAAGTTTGTCCCGTTATCCGAGTAGATGACCCGTGGCCACCCACGCCTAGCCGCCATGCGCCGCAATGCCGATATCGCCGAGTCCGTCGTTAGGGAATAAACTATCTCTAGATGTACCGCGCGCGTCGTCAAACAAGTGAATAACGCTATCCACCGTTTTTCATGCCTACGTCCTATTGTTACCGTTATAGGCTCGAAATAGTCGATTCCGGTGTAGGTGAATGGTCGCGCGAATGCCCCTAACCGTTCAGGTGGTAGATCTCCGATAACCGCTGGCCGGGGTGTCGCCTTGCGTACCCTGCACCGCAGACATCTCCGCTCCACTTCTCGTACGGTCGGTCGTAGTCAAAGTATGTGATATCTCGTGCGTAGGTCGTTCACTACCCGTTCCCTGTTGGCGTGGCTTGCTTCCTTATGCGCCTTCTCCACAAGCAGCTTTACAAACTGGTGGCGTCCGTTCAGGATGATGGGCCTCTTCATTTGGCTGTCCACATCGGCTGCGTCAATCCGTCCTCTAGCTCGCAGTACGCCATCTTCGAATATGGGGTCGAGCTTCCTTAACGCGCTGCCGGTTGCCAAGTTCCTTCCTTTCTGCAGTCGACTGATGTCTTCAGCAAAACTCTCTTGTTGACTTCGCTCTATCCACATCCGCTCTGCTTTATGGATGTGGTCCAATATTAGTCCGTGCGCCTTTCCTCTCATGGCATCGACGAACTGTAATATCCGAGCGGTGGCCCTGACCAATCTCTCGTAAGAAGAGAACCTCTCGATGTCTGGCAGGTATGGAGCGCCCCTGGTGTCGCTCTGGTGCGCCACGACTTCCTCCAGCTCGTCATCTTCATCCCCTGCCTTCTCTTCCCGTCGTCGAGGCCATCGATCTTCCTCTTCGTACAGGAATGGCGGTCCCGTAAACCATTTGTCGCTCTCTTCCTTGTACGTATAATTAATGCGTGTTGCCTGATCCGCGATGTTGTCTGCGGTCGGTATCCACCTCCATTGCTTGGGTGACGTCTTCTCCGATATCTCCCCTAATCTATGTGCTACGTATGGGGTGTAACGCGCCGTATCGTTTTGAATCCAATGGAGCGCCGTAGTGGAGTCTGTCCAATAAACTACCCTATCGGCTACCACTCTGTGCTCGCCTTGCACGAATTCCGCGAGTCGCGCGCCTATCAGATTCGCCTATAATTCTAACCGTGGTATGCTTTGCGCCTTTATCGGGGCGACTTTCGCCTTGGCCGCCACTAATCGTACCTTAACCGTTCCGTCGCGGTATCGTAATCGCCAATACGCCGCGGATGCGTACGCACGTTCGCTTGCGTCGCTGAACACGTAGAGCTGACGCTCTACCACTCCCCCCGTAGGAGCATAGCACCTAGGCAGCCGCAGTCGTGATACTTCCTCGACGACTCGCAGCCACCTCTGGAATTCCTCAGCTGCCTCCTCGGGTAGTTCGTCGTCCCATCCGACCTTCTTCATCCGCAGTCTTCTAGCAGCCATCTCGTAGCTAGGAGGCATCCGCACGTCGTCGTCCTTCCATGGCAGTCCCACCTGGTATTGATCGCCGACCTTCTTGACGGTGCGCTGGAATATCTCGACAGCGCGCTCCTCTTCCCGTCGCGGCATATTCCTTAGCGAGATACCGATGGAATCGATCTCGTACTGCCGTTTGAGGAGTTCCGTTATCTCCTCGTCTTGACTCGCGAACGTTCGGATGTCCCTATCTATCCGTCCGGTACTGCTTACGACGTGTAACACGGTTTCACCGTCCTCCCTACACGTGAATCGCGGCACGGTTCCCTGTATCACCCATCCTAATAACGTACGTGCAGCTATAGGCTGCCTTCGACGCCCTATCCTCAAATTACGGGTGATTATTAAATGCCAATTGTCGGCTCCTAATAATAATCTCGGTTTGGCGTCCTCATAGCAAACCGAGCTCGGTAGGTCGCGTAAATGCTTTAGACGTAAACACTCTTTATTTACCGACTGCGAACCTATCTGTAAATTTGTTACTGTACGCGCATTTATTCTATACATCTCGCTGCGCGATTTTCTACGTATGCCTATGTTAACTAGCCTGCTATCGGCCTCGCGCTGACTATTGCTTATTCCCCTAATATTCAGCGGCTTTACCGGTCCTTCCGCTCCTAACTCACGCGCTAAGTCGTCATCGATCAACGAAATAGTCGCACCTTCGTCGAGCAACGCGTACGTGTCTATTTCCTTACCGTGTGGTCCACGTAACGTAATGGGACACATTTTCAACAATACGGATGCATTCCTACCGACGTTAGACGCGACGAGTACGGTCTCATCCGGTTTGGCCGATGTCTTAGGTGCGCGGGTCTTGCGGGTGTGAAGTAGGGCGTGGTGGGGGGCGTTGCAGCCGTCGATGCCGCATTTCTTTGCTTTACATTTAAACCGTCGGTGTTTACTATTTAAACATAGAAAACATACCCCGTCTTCTTTTACCCAATTCCACCGG